TCATAATGAATGACTCTGTACAGGGTTTTTGAGGAGCAAATGGTGGGTTTGAACTGCCGATCTTACGGTTTGCAGTCCAGTGCTGATAGCGTGATTCAAAGTGACATGCTATTTTCTAGAGTCCAATTTCTTACTAATGTTATTGTTGTTGTTTTTGTTGTTGTTCTTGTTAAGGGCTGTAGAGTGGTTCTGACTCATAGCATCCTTGAATAGAGTTTCCGAGGAGCTGCTCTTGGGTTTGAACTACTCACCTTGGGGGTTAGTTGTTCAGTGCTTATCCTACAGTGACACACCAGGTTTCTACTTGCTAATGTAATCAATGGTATTTTGGAATGCATTATTTGAGTGAGATTCAACTGAAATGTATCTTAGTAGTATCAACAAAAGGAAAGATCTTGCAAGAAAATGAGTAGGGCATAATTGAAGGAAACTTTTTCCTACTAATACCACATGGAGTTTTAAACCTCTTTACAGCATGGTGTGATGTGGAGTCAGTTTCGACTCACAGTGACCCAGTATAGGGTTTCCAGGGCTGTAAATCTTCACAGGAGCAGAAAGCCTCATCTTTCTTCTGTGAAGAGTAGCTGGTAAATTCTAACTGCTGACCTTCAGGTTAACAGCACAACTCATAACCCACTACACTACCCTGACTCTTTCTTTACAGCACAAATGTGTAAATAAATAATACTTTACTAATTAATAAATCTCATATTCCTTAAGACAGACTTCACAAGATATTTGTCTAGCATGACTGTGATCATATAATGAAATTATAACAATTCTCAGAAATAAAATCTGAATATAAAAAAAAAATCCTAGATTAAAATTTCTTAAAGCCTCTGTAATTAGAAGCAAATTAATTAAAAACCATTGCTGTTGTTTTACATTAAGAATCACAGAATAGGATAAAATGGCAGAGTTAACACACCATGAAAATGGCATAGTCCGAATGCCCTAGCAAAGATGACTAATAAGCTATTCTTTTTGTATAAATTTCAAGTACTATCACTTTATACTTTTATGATTCTTTAAAATATTAAGTATTTTAATGTTAAATGTTCAGTATTTCCTAACTTACAGTAATATTAAACAAAAGTACAAGTTACTTTAATTAAGATTTTTCTAGAGACATAAAAGGGACATTTTAAGGAGTTATATTAGTTATTAAGAGACAAACATTTCTAATAACATTTCAAAAATCTAAAAGAAAATGCTATAAACCAAATGATGTTATATCAGTATCAAGTCCCATTTAAAAAGATATATAAACATTTATTTGGCTCATGTACTACCATAACTGGTAAATATCGTATGTGACACAAGTTGATTTATGTTACAGTATGTCTAGTTCTTTATTTATGGATCATCAAACTTAACAAACCATTTTTTATTTCTTCAATTGTACCTGATAGAGTTGGGGAGTGAAACGGAGAGTAATGTGGATTCTGAATTTGCAAGGACTCACTTTGAGGATCTTGTTCCATCACCAACCTCTGAAAAGGCTTTTCTCGCACAAATCCACGCCCGGAAACCTGGATACATTCACAGTGCAGCTGCCACCAGCACCGTTCACAGTGACATGTGAGTGTCTTCTGCTTGGAGTTATTGTCTTAGTAACAGAGCCATCTGTTGTTGTTGTTGTTGTTAAGTGCCGTCGAGTCGGTTCCGATCCATAGCGACCCTGTACAGGGTTTCCGAGGGTGTAAATCCTTACGGGAGTAGAAAGTCTCATCTTTCTCCCGCGGAGCGGCTGGTAGTTTTGAACCGCTGACCTTAAGGTTCGCAGCCCGATTCGTAACCACTACGCTAGAGTAGGGAGCATAAAAAAAGGAAAACACGGTTGCTTAGTCCCATATTCTGGAAAAGAATGCTGCAGTTTCCTTGCCTGCCAGAAGAGGCAGAAGTGAGCTACATTTAAATAGGCCATTTCTACTTCCCCCACCCCTGTCCCCACCTCTTACAATTCCTACGGGAGAATCAGTAACTTAGTCCAGGAAATAGCTCTTGTGAATTTTCTCTGCTTGACTATACACAAAATAGTATAAAAATTGCTCCCCAACACCTTGGTCAATTAGCCTAACATAGTCCCCAAACACATGTTACATTCATAGCCTAAGGCATATGTATTTTATAAAAAATAATTCAAAATTGATTTACATTAGATGTAAAATATAAAACTGTAAAAGTTTTAGAAAAAAACATAGGAGAATATCTTCAGAAAATCTTCTAGGGGTAGGCAAAGAGTTCTTAGATTTGACATCAAGAACACATAAAAAAATAAACTGATAAACTATACTTCTTCAAAATTAAAAACTTTTGCTCTGCAAAAGACCCTATTAAGGGACACCATAATTGATTGGCATAGAATAGTCTACAAAACAATGTTTTATATCTTTTGTGAATAGCAACAAGGATCTTAAAAGCTCATGGTGTTGTTTTTGTTGCTAAGTGCCATCTAGTCGGTTCCCACTCACAGAGACCCTATATAGCATTTCCAAGGAGTGACTGGTGAGCTTGAACTGCTGACCTTGCAGTTCAAACCAACCTTGCAGTCCAGCGCATTAACCCACGTGCCACACCAGGACTCCATGAGCACATGAATGGCTACCTAATGTGTTCCTCCCTGTCTGGAGAAAAGAAGAGTGATGAAAATTGAAGATGCTTGGAAACAATTCATCCAATGGACTAATGAACCATGTGAACATCCGTCTCCATGACCCTAAGACCAGAACACGATGGCCCCTGCTACCACCCCACCCCTACCAACGGCTCTGAAAGGGATCACATTAGAAAGTCCTGGATGGAGTGGAAGAAAATGTGGAACAAAATCCAAAACCACAAAAATTGACCAGACTTACTGACCATATAGACTAGCAGAACCCCGAAACTATGGCTCTTGGTCACCCTTCAGGTCTGCAACTAAACTCATTCCCCGTGGCTCAATTTCCAGTCAAGCTATAGATCAGTATACAGTGGAGACAACAACACTAGTGAGATATCCTCACCATGGCACAGTCAACCATTTGAGATCAAAAGAGCAGCACTTACCCAATGACAAAATTCCGAGGGGTTGGGAAAGGAGGAGGAGTAGCAGCAAGAGAGGAAGGAGACTAAGTAAGTGACTTTACACCAGGGCATTGTAGTCATTGAGATGAAACAAAGTGCATAATTGATTGACTATAAAACTGATTTTCTGCTCTATAAGCCTTTACTCAGTTCACAATAAAAAGTTAAAGAGAAAAAAATGCTCCCTGCCTTTCAAGAAGGAGCTGTGGTAGCACAGTGGTTAAGTACTCAGCTGTTAACTCAGAGGTCAGTGGTTCAAACCCATCAGTCACGTAGCAGTAGAAAGATGTGGCAATCTGCTCCCACGATTACAGCCTTGGAAATCTGTGGGCGGTTCTATTAGGTCTACAGGGTTGCTGGGAGTTGAAATCAACTCCATAACAACGGTCTGAATGTCAGCTTTAGCTGATGCAAGAGGAGCCATGGTACTCAATGTGTAAGTGCTCAGCTGCTAACTGAAATGTTGACTTTTTAAACACACAGGAAAAAGACCTAGTGATCTGCTCCCATAAGATTACAGACTAGAAAACCCTGTGAGGCAGTTCTACTCTGTCACATGGGGTTGTTATGAGTGAGAATCTACTTAAAGGCAACTTGTGGTGCAAATGGCTTGTGCTTGACCACTAATGTAAAAGTTGGTTGTTTGAACCCACCCAGCAGTACAGCAGAAGATAAGCCTGGCAATCCACTTCTGTTAAAATTCCTGCTGAGAATACTCAGTGGAGCAGTTCTACTCTGTAACATATAGCCTCACCTTGAGTCAGAGCTGACTTGAGGACAACTGATGACTAAAGAGTTAAAATAAGTAAAAACATAAATCTCATGAGAAAGTAGTCCAACTTGAACAATTCATTAATATTAGGTACAACATGTATATATCTGATCCTTGAAAGAGCAATTGTGCAAAGTTTTTCACCCAATTAGATCTGTATACCTTGACAGAGACACCGTTTTTCTGTAAACCTGAGACAGCTCCAAGTAGTCAAGGAAACGCAAAGCACTAAGGCAAAGTTAGGACAGACCTGCAGACCCAACTGAGAAGAGAAAAGAGAAAGGAAAAGAAAGGAGTGGGCTTTCAGGGAAATGAGACCACAGGCAAAGCCTTACCAAAAGGTGGAAAAGGTGATAGTTGAAGACTACAAAAAACAGAGAGGTGATAGTGCTTGATGTGAAACGTACCGCAGACTAGTCTAGAAAACTAAACTGTCTGTTTCAAAGACCCAAAAGAGAAACTAGCCAGAGAGCTTTCTGGTGTTCTGACTCTCAAGCCCAGTTAATAGTGTGGGATTACACAGACGTGTGGTAAAAACCAGCTGTGAAGTAGCCCAACAGAAAACCAAAACAAAATAGTCAGAATGTAATTTTAAATGGCAGTATGATGCTGATATGAATCTTAGCTGGCTTTCTTTTCCTATTATTTAGGCTTTTTTTGTTTGTTATTCAGAATGGTGAATTAATTGTCATCTGTTTTGTCTGGTAAATACATATATGTTTGACTTTTTATAATTAAACATTTACATGAGTAACATGAACTCTCCATGTTCCAATTCTAAAATCCAAGGCTATGGCTTAAACTGCCCAATTCAGCTGGCCCTGGTGTGGGAGCGGCCACTGTTACCAACACAGGCCACAGGCGGTGGCAAGGAAAGGTCATAGAGGCCTTGCAAGCCCACTTAGAATTGTCCCAAACCTCCAAAAATAGCATGAGCATGTCATACTGATATAAATAAACATGAACGATGACATTTAAGTTCCAACTCCAGCACTTTATTTAACTGCTCTCTTCTTTCTAGAGGATATTTTAGTATCTGTAAATATCTGTACTGTCCAAACATGAGCTGTGTCTTACCCCAAGAATGTTTTAGTGCTATGATTTAGGTGAATTTACGTTCAGTCCCATGAGGAGCTTTACAAACACGTTGCAGTTACACTTTAGTTAATGAACTCATTCTTATTTCATAGTAGAGTTGGACAACTTCAATGGATCTTTTAGATTAAGAAATAGTATAAATGTTTAAGATTAAGAGCTAGGAGTTGGAGAATTAACCTTCCTGGTATAGGCTAGATAATAATCTGAGACTTGCTTCTACTATAAAAAAATAAAGTGTGTGTGTGTGTATGTGTGTTTAATATTGTTGTTATTGTAATCGTGAACACATGTCTTAAGTATGTTTTACTCTAAGGCTCACTCTACTTATAAAAAGTATTCTTTGATTCGATTTTAAAAAGCCCTCACATTGGGAAAATGGTTGTTGTTGTTAAGTACCGTCGAGTCAATTCTGACTCATAGCAACCCTATCCACAGCAGAAAGAAATACTGCCTGGCTCTGCAGCAGCCCCATGATTGTAGTTATGTTTGAGCAGGGAAAACTCTATTATCACTTCAAAAGACAAGCTTGTTTTTATTAAACTGAAAAGCATTTTAAAAACCAGCCTTTCCCTGAGACCCTTAAGAAAAAAACCAAGATTATCAATTAGCACCAGACAGCCATAGAAGAATTGCATATAAGAAATACTTCCATTAGTATACTTCCAAAGATTTTTAACTGCTTGGAAACCCAATACGGGGCTGGAACCTATATATGAGTTGGAACAGACTGGACAGTGCTTAACAACAACAACAATTTGTAGGTAAAAGAAGCCTACAGATGTGAAAGTGAATTGAACAACTAAGAAAGGGGAAAAGTGCTCACAAAACTAGTTAACCCAGGAATTCCGTTCATACTTTTTTCCTAAGATTTCCTCCAAAATGTGGTTTGTTTCCAGTGTTACTGAAGATGGGGATCCCTACGTGCGACCAGAGGAGGAGAACTATGAAAATGACTCGGTTCACCAGCTGGAAAATGAGCTTAAGATGGAGGAATACCTGAAACAGAAGCTGCAGGATGAAGCCTATCAGGTACCTGGGAGCCAGGGCTCACCCCCACCATGCCCACTCCAGCCTTCTAGCTGGGTCTTTACAGGATCAGTGCCCGTCTCCTTCCTCTATACTCCATTTCCAGAGTGTGCCCCTTATTCCAGGGACTCTGGAGAGTGACCGTGTTAAATGCTTCCTCTACAGCGGTCACGCACTCACTGTGTGCTTGTCTACACTCTGATCCGGAAAGCAGAAAGACGCCTTGTGGCACTAAGAGAAACACAGTGATTAACCACAGTTCAGACTCCTCTGGGATCCTTAAGAAAGATATATGTTTCCTCATAGATTGAAAAAAAGGGAGGCACAAGGAAATTGAACAAGCATAATTATATTGCCTCCCTTGCTGAGAGTGTGGATACAGTAACCCTTCCCCTCCCTCCACACCTCATGGCACAGGTAAGTAGGAGGGTGACAAATGTTTGGAGAACTGTCAGTTCCGTGTCCAGCATGGTGTGGAGGGACAGATTTTTCAACCATACCAGAATTTATTAACCCAGCTGAGAATTCACTCAATTGCATATGCAATTATGAATAAATGGAATCCTTCACTCATACCATTATTCTCCTAGGAGATGGTTCTACTGCCTTCTTTGTCTTTCTTGTATGTCTCCTTTCCCTTTACTCTGCAGGTGTTTTGTGGGGTGCCTGGGGTTTGCCTGTCAGACCTGCTCTTCTCTGGGCCCCGTGAGTTATTTCATCATGTCAGGCTTTCTGTCCCAGGGACATCTGACTTTCTCCACCTTTTTCATTTGTCTGTGGCCCTTGTCCTCTGTTAGTAAAGGAAAAAGAAGCCAGAAGAACAAGTTATCTGCTACTTCATATGTGCTGATAAGTTCAGCCTTGAAATATTTTCCTAAGACAAAGATGAGGCTTTCTGTTCCTGTAAAGATTTACAGCCTCAGAAACCCTATACAGGGTCACTATGAGTTGGAACCGACTCAACAGCACCTAACAACAACAGTGCTACAAAAACTGTCACCATCCCCTAACACAGGACCCACGGAGAGCACTTTCTCTGTGTAACTACTACAACCCATCCACGGAGGGGCTAGACCTAGAAAGAAGCTGCCAAGTATCTCTAGGGACATGAAGGGATGGCATTCACATTTAGCTTTGCTGCCCTGAAAGAGATGTGGCTAAAACATTCATGTTCTGGTTTATGCTGCTAAAGGCACCCGTTAGGACTCCCTCTTTGAGCTCATCCATGTTTCTGGATGTTTGTGACAGCAGCCATTGAAATTGTAGAAGCAGACAGCCTTCTTTCACCATTCCATATTAAACATTAGATTTTATTTATTTTAGTGAACTAGGAATGTAACTTGGTGTGAGTCAAATGAAGAGAACTTCTATTCATGACTAAGATTATACTTGGAGTTTCGACATCACCTTCTCTCTCTCTTTTCCCTCCCATGCCCCATGACTTCAAGGTCCAAGGGCAAGACAGGGACCTTGAAGTCAAGAGGCTCTAAGAAGTAATGGGCCTGTGTCTCCCTCAAGACATATGTCCCGGAGAACATCAAAGTGGTTGCCTTGGGTGCCCTGTAAGCATATGACCGTTTGATGAATCTGTGTGCTCTCTTCATTCACTGACTTTCTCTCTCTGTCTTTGTGCATGGCTTTCAGCCAAATAATTCACCAGCTTGACTGCATCACAGACTTGACATGTCACCTTTCTTGTGTCCTTTGTCACCCACAGGTCAGCTTGCAAGGCTGAATGCAATATCCTTTTATCACTCTCCTCTCAAGTAAGTACCGCCTTATTTAGGAGGACACGTGGTCACTGGTCACTGAGTTCTGACAACTTGTAAATTCACAGTCATTCTTGCTCAGCTGTTTCTCTGTGGCCAGATGCCTTCCTTCCCTGCAGATTGCAAAGAATTATCCCTGGTTGTGGAGCATTTATTTATAAGCCAGTGACGTTTGGACAGAATTCTTGAGGAGTAGATTTTTTTTCTATTCTATTCATTAGGAAAGTTGGCACAGAAGTTGCTCTAACATTAGAGGGGCCCCAGAAATCCTCTGTGACTGTCACACTGTCCTTGCCCTTCACCCATCCATAGCAGCATCCAAGTTTGCAGCCCTCTAGCTCTTGAGAAGGAAAGAAATCCAAGCATCTCTGGTAACCCAGCACCACCAGAGAAGAGCCATCTCCCTAAGTCATGCTGCATGTAGGATCCCAAAGACCCAGTGTTCTGACCTTCACAAGTCAAAAGACTACCATGTATTATTAAAGCAAACAAAAGAATCAAAACACAGAGGAAACTTTCTCCAGCTTTATGTGTTTGGGACAGCCGAGTAAACTCCATTGTAAAATTCAATACAATTTCAATTGATTTAAAAAAAAAAGTATGTATGTGGCCTGTGAGCCCACCCCAGGGATCTACTTAATGCACCTTGTCTTGGACTGTCAGTAGCCCTCAATGATTCTCTTAATGTAGAGACAATGACACTTGGCTGGCAGGATCATTTTTGTGGAGTGGTCAGAAACGCTGGTTACAGAATCCAATAAACCTAGTTCCAAGTATGGATTCTTCCACATCCCAGCAGCATAACCTTAAGGGTCCCTGGTGTACCACTGTAGAATAAGCACTGGACTGCTAACTGCAAGGTCCATAGTTCAAGCCCACCAGCTGCTCCAAGGGAGAAAAAGAAGGCTTTCAGCTCCCATAAAGATTTACAAGCTCAGAAACCCTACACAGAGATGTTATGAGTCAGAACCAACTCACATGGTAGTGAAGGGCTGCATAACCTTGGGTAAATTATTCTATCTGTGAGTTTCCTCCGTATAACAGATCATAGCACCTACCTCATAGGGAAGTTGTACTCACTGGTTCTTAAAGAGCTTCATGTAGAAAAGTGTACTACATTCATGGCCATTGTAGTCATTGCTTTACAAACAACTCAATAAGTAGGAGCTACTATGGCTACTATAAGGAGCTCTGGTAGCATAGTGATTACGAATTGGGCTGCAAACCTCAGGGTCAGCAGTTTGAAACTACAAGCTGTTCCGCAGGAGAAAGATGAGGCTTTCTGCTCCCATAAAGATTTACAGCCTTGGAAACCATGTACAGGGTCGCTATGAGTGGGAACCAACTCCACGGCACATAACAACAACAACAACAACAACTATGGCTATTATAAGGACTTTGGTAGCGTAGTGGTTACAGGTCGGGCTGCTAACCTCAAGGTCAGCAGTTCAAAACTACCATCAGTTCCACTGGAGAAAGATGGGACTTTCTGCTCCCATAAAGATTTACAGCCTCGGAAACTCTATGTAGGGTCACTATGAGTCGGAATAGACTCTACAGCACATAACCACCACCATGATTATTACAGGAGGATATGGGAACCTCCAGGACTCAGAACTAGCTTGTTCTCTCTACTAGTATGAACAAAGTTGAAACTCCACTCATATGCAGTGACTTGGTATGCCTCATACTACATTGCCACAGAAGTCTACGTGGTTTCTCTGGCTCAAGCTAATGGCCATTTAGATGCTTCCCATTATGGTTCAAAGCATGAGCATCTCCCATAGTAATCAGACTGCTTTGACCCAAGAACTTGTGTCTGCTTTAAACGTTCTTCCCCAAACATGGTGGTGGTGGTAGTTATGTGTCGTGGAGTCGGTTCCCACTCATAGTGACCCTGTACAGAGTTCCCAAGGCTGTAAATCTTTACAGAAGCAGAAAGCCTCATCCTTCCCCCACGGAACAGCTAGTAGTTTCGAACTGCTGACCTTGCAGTTCATAGCCCAATTCGTAACCACTACGCTACCAGAGCCCATGGTAATCTCCTAAATCCGTAGTGAAATTGACAATAAATGCTGTCAACTCTAGTAGTGAAATTGAAAAAGGGATATGACATATCAATTAGCAATGAAGACATTTTAGCTCAAATACTACTGGCCTCCTGTCTCAGGCCTCAGGTTAAGATTAAGGAAGAAAAAAATTGAAAATCGTGGCACAATTGCTACTATAAAATATGCTTTATGAGCTATGAGGTTATTTTGATGTGAAGAGAGGGATTGTATTAACCTGTTCTGTTCTCCCTTCCTTGAATTTGAGAGTGCTATGCCACATGATTAGAGTGAAAAAAACTCCCAGGAGCTATTTCTGAAAATAGTCACTCCAATTATAACAAACCTAGGCCCAAAGGAGCAAGCTATATCCTTTAATACCATGTTCTTCCTCTAAGCTCCAGTAATTCAATAATTTTTATTCTGCATATTATTTAAACATTAATAGCTAATTCTAAGAAAAATATATTTAAAAACGAAGCCTTAACATACACCTAGATCAAAATTTGCATTTGTTTCTTGTACCTAAAAGCTAGAAATCTCAGTACTTTGAAAGTGCTTAGGCCATTTTTATCTTCCTCTACAAATCTGGCAGTAAAAAGTTGTTAACAGTTGTGAACTCTGATATTTACTGAATCTTGGACCCTACCTACCTGATATTCCATAGGACTTTAGCATGAGCCAGCCTGCCAATAACTCAGGCACTTTGGTAAAGTTCATTTAAAAAATCTGAGAAAAGGCTGCAGAAACTAGTGACTTCTCATTGCTACAGCTAGTCCTATCCTATTATAATTTTACATTATGTAGCCAAGAATTATCACGGAAATTTTTAGAACAGTTTTTATGATTGAACTGTTTATGTTTGGAGTTTCTAACAATGCAACAAGACTAAAAATTATTTTTTTAAGAAACAAAAACTAGAAATTATCTCCAAGTGTATGCATCTCTTAACCAAGTAAGTGTCCTGCAGCCAATTTCATGAATGTGAAGTCAAGTAGCCATTCACTGAGACAGAGCCCTCCATGGGTAAGGGTAATGGGCAGAAGGTGGAGTGCCAAAAAAATAGAAGACTCAGCTTCTATTCAGAAAGAGCTTCTGAGCCTGTTTGAAGATAAATATACACTCATCAACATATTAAAAAGAGTGGAGAGAGTAAAACACTGATTTTCAGCTAGCCACTTCTGAATAAACAATATTCATAATAGTTACCACTCAGACTGTAGAGTTCACCAGAATCACTGAAGTCTTGGTTTGTATTTTAGCCATCCTCTGGCCACATGATACACCATTCTGCCAAGTCGAGCACAGCTTAATTTTATATTTAGGGAGACTGGACAACCAAGAGCAGAATTTTTTTTAAGTCTGCATGATATTCTGATGTTGGGTCAGTGGTCGTATCTCCCTGTGCAATGGACAGCACAAATGGCTCTGCCAGTTCTGCTATAACCATCAGATGCCTCCAAGAATCAATACAAATGACTTGGTAGCCTTTCCTTCAGAAGATAGCAATTCCTGATTGTTACAGAAAGGAAGTCGAGGGTGTATGTGTGTGCATGGTGTGTGTGTGTGTGTATGTGTTGGGAGGTGGGAAGGGGATCCTAAGATTCATAACTCTAATTTAGAGAACAGTTTTCATCTTTTAAAAAAATGACACATTCCTTATTCCCAGGCAAGCTATAGTCAGACAGATGATGAAAGTAACATGAAAGCTGGTGGTGAAGAGCTCTGCATCCCACAGAGGAGGAGAAAGCAGCCGGGGCAGCAACTTTACAGAAGAGAGGAACCACCATGGACAAAGCCCTGCCCCTAAAGATGTATTCTGCTGATAATAGCACAGTTAGCTCACTTTTTGTTCTAAGATGTGTAGTTCATAGGTGCGTGCTTTGAGAAGGGGAAAAACAAAAACAAGAAAAGACTTTCGTTTCCAGTTAATTTATCAGCTCCATCTTCTGTAACCTGGCTCATTCCTGGTAAAGGCTGACCCCACACTGCTGTTACACATGATAGCAGTATTAACACGCATTTTCAACCTTTGCACATGACCCTGAATCTTTTCAGTCTACTATGACAATATTAATACTGTTTCTAGCTAGAGGTTTGATTTCTGAATTCTTTGAGATTTTAGCAAAACCGTTTGTTGTACACTGTACCCTTTTTTTGTTCCCACAGCAATTGGAAAAAAACAACCACTTGCAGTTAGTCGCTTGTCCTGAAGGATTTGGTTCCTGAGTGTGTACACTCAGAGTCCTAAGACCAAAAAGGGTGCTTGGCCTGCATTTGGTGCCAAGTCTCTGTGAGCAGCGACTTGAACCAAACACACCAGGAGAATCCATTCTTTGGGGCTTCTCTCCCATGTGGGGTTGTTTTCTTTCAAAATACTCTTAACAAATCAGCCATAGAATTTAGTGTAAATATTTTTCCAAATAGATATCATATTCAAAAAACAAAAAAAAAAAGGCAACATTCAAATTATATAGAATCTAGTTTTTAAAATCAGCACAGATCTTCTTAAAACTGTGAACTATGTTTTGAAATACTCGTTACTAAAGCTGTTTATAAACCACAGGTGCCATAATTTCCCCAAATGGACTACAGTGATCTCTGCTCTGCCATGGTCTTGTTTCCTCTGTTGTAGCTTTAGGGAGCATGTCTTTAACTGCACCATTCATTCACAAGTTCCCCAATCAGGTTGTTTGGAGGCCTTCAGCTTTAAATGTACAGGCTTAAAGTGCGCTTGCAAACGTTTGCTCTCCTTTTATTTCTGAATGTTGATTGCCTTAGCTGGTCACCTGGTTTTCTGCATGCCGTCTTTTGTGGTCATGTGAGAGAAGACAAGCTCTTAGGAGTTGAGTTGGGATTTTGCCCTCAGTGGAAAGCTGATATACAAAATAGCTGTCAAAGGAAGGAGGCTGGAAGAT